ATGTGAGGAGTGGCCCTTCTGTTCCTATTCCCCCACAGGACCTGGTTGTCTCTGTGTATGTTTTTCTCATGTTCTGAAAAGCATCTGCAGCCGAGATGGATACTGCAGGATGGTATCCTCCTCTACACTTGACAAATTATATAACGCTGAAGAAAAACATTGAAGAAGGTATAAATAAATGAAAGCACATACTGTGCTCATGGACAGGAAGAATCCACATCATTAAAATGTCTGTACTACTAAAAGCAATCTATAGAGTCAATGCAATTCCTATCAAGGTATCAATAGCACATTTCACAGAACTGAACTACAACAAATATTCCAAAAATTTATATGAAACCACAAAAGACCCTGAATAGTCACAGCAATCTTGAGAAAGTAAAACAAAGTTGGAGGTATCACACTACTTGATATCAAACTATACTACAAGGCCATAGTAATCACAGCAGCATAGGACTGGCATAAGAGCAGGCATATGTATCAGTGGAACAGAATAGAGTCCAGAAATAAACCAACACCTTCATGGTGAATTAATATAATACAAAGGAGGTAAGAACATACAATGGGATAAAGATAGTCTATTCAATAAATGGTGTTGGGAAAATTGGACAGTTACATGCAAAAAGTGAAAATAGACCACTTTCTTACACCACATCCAAGAATAAAATAAAAATGGTTTAAAGACTTACAAGTAAGACATGAAACCATAAAATTCCTAGAAGAAAATGTAGGCAGTGAAATCTCTGACACTTCTCTTAGCAATATTTTTTTCTGATGTATCTCTTTGGGCAAGAGAAATAAGAGAAAAATAAATAAATGGGACTACATCAAAGTACAAAGTTTTTGCACAGCAGAGAAAACCATCAACAAAACAAAAAGACAAGGTACTGAACAAAAAGAAGATATTCTCCAATTCTACATCCTATAAGGGGTGAATATCCAAAATCTATAAAAGCTCAGAAAACTGAACACCAAAAATACACATAATCCAAATAAACAAATGGGCAGAGAATCTGAATGTAGACACTTCTCCAAAAAGGACATGTAGATGGCCAACACATATATGAAAAGATGTTTACAGTCACTAATCATTAGAGAAATGCAAATTAAAACCACAGTGAGATGCAGCTTAGCAAAATAAGCCAGGTGGTGAAAGACAAATACCATATGATCTCACCTTTAACAGGAACCTAATCAACAAAACAAACAAACAAGCAAAATAGAACCAAAGACACTGAAATTGAGAACAGGCTGACAGTGACCAGAGGGGAGAGGGGAGGGGATACAGGGAAAAGGGGTGAAGGGTTTGCAGGAACTTTTATAAAAGACACATGGACAATAACAAAGTGGGGGTGGGAACAGGGGAGGGAGGGAGGGAAGGCTGGGGGCTTGGGCTGGGGGGAAAGGCAGAAAACTGTACTTGAACAACAATAAAAAAAACTAAGAAAAAAATAAATCAACAAACAACATGTGTTGGGTGAGGATGTGGAGAAAAGGGAGGTTCACTGTGGGAATGCAGACTGATTGGTGCAGCCCCTGTGGAAAGCTATTGCAGGGTCTTCAAAGAATGAAGAATGAAATTGCCTTATTACTTCTGGGTATATGAAGAAACCCAAAACACAAATTATTTTAAAAGATTTTATGATTTTTAGAGAGAGAGGCAGGGAAGGAGAGAGGGAGAGAAACATCAATGTGTGGTTGCCTCTCATGCGCCCCTCACTGGTGACCTGGCCTGCAACCCAGGCACGTGCCCTGACTGGGAATCAAACTGGTGACCCTTTGATTTGCAGGCTGGTGCTCAATCCACTGAGCCATACCAGGTAGGGCCCAAAACACAAATTTGAAAAAATATGTGCACCCCTATGTTCACTGTAGAGTTATTAACAATAGCCAAAATATGGAAGCAACCCAAGTGTCCATCAACAGATGATTAGATAAATAATGTAGTACATATACACAATGGAAGATTACTTGGCCATAAAAAAATGAAAACTTACCATTTGCAACAGCATGGGTGGACCTATTATGCTAAGGAACATAAGTTAGACAGAGAAAGACAAATACCATACGATTTCACTTACATGCAGATCTAACATAAACAAACAAAACAGAATCAGAATCATATACACGGAAAACAAACTGATGGTTTCCAGGGTAGGGCTGTTGGGGGCTGGGTCAAAAAGGTGAAGGTAGAAATAAGTCCAAATTGGCAGTTACAAAACAGTCATGATGATGCCAAGTGCAGCACAGGGAATACAGTCAATAATGTAATAACTATGTATGGTGCCAGGTGAGTTCTTGAAACAGTAAGGGGAACACTTTGTAAATTATATAATTTGACTGTCTAACCACTATGCTGTATACCTAAAACTAATGTAAAATAATATTGAATGTTAACTGTAATTGAAAAATAAAATTAATTAAAAAGAAAGCACATAGTCTTGTTAACTATCCTGTAACCCCATTCCTGCCCTGCTTTTTCCCTTCTCCATGTAATGCTCCCTAAACTTCCTCTTTAATTTCAAATGAATAAAAGGAGGTGGAAAACTGTTATTCTTGGGAGCATTTGAGGTCTTGATCCCTGGCATGTGTCATCAGTTTGACTCAAGTAAACTCTTCAAAAATTCTGAAAAAAAAACTGGATTTGATGGAAGTTTGTCTATTTATTGCTCTTTTCAAAGAATTAGTTTTAGACTTTATTGATATATTTTTAAAATATTTTACTAATTTCTACTTTTATTTTAATAAGTGCATTCCTTCATCCTGTAGGGTAATTTTGCTATTCTATTTCCATATATTAGTTTAATTATTGTAAACTTTTAAAAATAATTTAATTTTGGCTCTAAATATTTCTTTTGTATTTATTGGTGCAGCTCATAAATTTAAGATATTGTTCTCTCACTCTCATTTCTAAGTAGTTTGCAGCTTCAGCTCTGAGTTATTTAGAACTTTGACTCAAAACAATTAGTGAATAAATTTTGGAGGGACTACTAATTTTATGGTTACTTTTTAATTTTTGCTGTTTTGAAGTCAGAGAAATTGTAGAATTTATAGAATTTTCCTTTCGACTTAAATCTTGGCTAATTTTTGTGACTATTTCTGGGTGCTTAAAAAGACAGTGGTTTGCTTTTTTTTTGCTATTTATTAAATACAAATTTATTCAATTGAATTTGTTAACTGTGCTGTTTGGATGCCCCATTTGGTCTGCCATTCTCTGCACGCTGCAGGGGCGTCCCCCACTGTGCACGTGCTCGTTCCCCCTTATGGTTCCATCAGTGTCTCACTGACACACTTCCAAATACACTGTCACACAGTTTTAGAATTACTGTATGTTCTTGGTGGATTCTATCTTTTTTGTAGATATTTAATATCCCTCTTCATCTTCTTTAATGCCTTTCACCTGGAATTTTATTTCTACTGAAATTGTTATTACCACAACCACGTGTTTGGTAAGCATTATCTGGTATTCTTTTTCTATTCCTTTATTTTTATTCTCTGTAGGTCATTTTATTTTATTCTACATATTATAAACAGGCCAGAGTTAGATTTCTTAGAGCCAATATTAGAATATCTATCTTTTAATAGAGAAATTTAATTTTTCATGATTATTAATCTTTGTTCTGATTCCTGCCATCTTATTTGATGTTCTCATTTTCTTTCCTTCTTCCATTAGTCCATCCTTCCTTCCTTGCTTCCTTGCTTCCTTCCTTCCTTCTTTCCTTCCTTCATTTTTTCTTCTTTCTTTCTTCTTTTGCCTTTCCATCCTTTTGCTGAATTGCTGTAGTTTTCTTTGTCCATTTTTTCGCCCAGTGATTTAGAATGTACATATTCCATTTCCATTTTTCTTTGTCAGTTGAATCCCATCTGCTTTCTTCCACTTACGAATTCCCCAATATTTTTGGTTCACTAATAGCACCCTTTCATGTTTTGGTTTTTCTTCCTAGTACTGTGATGGGTTTTTAAAAAATGTCTTCTGTCATCAAGAACTTCAGAAAAGGAGGGGATATAGACTCATGTGCTTGCTCTGCTATCTGGTCCGAATCCCCTGTTTAAGTACGGCACGGGCTCCAATGTTGCTCAACTGCAGTCAGCAGTGGCCCTTGTGTTCTCACGGCCTACAGTCCAAGGGAGGCGGTGATATCAGACTGGGATGTGAAGGCCCTGCCATTTTGCTGCAATACATTTGAGTAGTAATGATGCTTGGGTTTGGGTGTGAAGAAAGGATTCTTCAGAACATGGTCAAGGTGGGGCTCTCTGAGAGAGGATCCCTGGATCTCCTGGAAAGGAACCCCAGGGGACGAGGGGTTCGCTGCCTTTCCCAGAATGAAAGCACATGAGATACGTGAACGAAAATGACTGTAGAAATCATCTGGCCCAGGGTAGGGTAAATAGTTCTCACCTCCCAGCCCTGGACTAGGAGGGATCCAGGAAAGTGGTAAGAACCAAGGGAGCAGATGAGGGGCTGCCAGGAGCCAGATGAGGAAGGAGAAGCAGGCTGCATGCAGCACGGACTTGCAGATGCATGGGCAGGTATGAGGAGCACTGCCTCCCCAGCTATACTTGGGGCCCCGGGCTGGTTAACTGAGGGAGAACCAAGCACGCAGGGACATAACCACCCAACACAGCAAATGGCACCAACACTGGCACCTGTACTTGTTTTATGAGGAAACTGAGGCTCAGAGAAGTTCACTGTCTTACTCAAGGTCACAGAGCAAATGTGTTGCAGGGTTGGCTTTGAGCCTGTTCAGCTTCCAAACCAGGGTGCGTCCAGGATTGACTTTTGTTTTCAGGTGGTCACAGCAGCTGTGCCAGTGTCTAAGGATGCTTGGTGGGAAGTTATACGTGACAACGAATGACTGACTACCCAGCCAGGGGAGGAGATCCAGCACCAGTTCTCTCCCTGCCCACTCTCCTGGAGAGAGTTCCCTCTTGTTCTACACCCAGACTGCAGGGCTGGACCATGTAGGTGTGTCTGTGTGTACCTGTCCTCAGAGACCCACCTGAAGAGAAGCAGCACAGCTTGGGGGAAGGTCTGAAAGTTGTTGTTGCGGTTGATCTCTGTGGTATCATTCAGGGCAATTTTCCCAAACACCTAAATGGGAAGAGGAAAGGGATTCAGGAACCATGGACAGCACAGCAGGGTCCTCATTCCTACCCATCAGCCAGTGGTCTCTTCAGGGCTCACAACTGTCCCTGGGACAGACTGGCTTATAAACTGAGCAGAGTTCCCTGATGCAACCTGGCAGGGCCTCAAGGGGGCAGGCACCTGCTGCCCCGCCTCAATCCCCACAATGGACCACTGGAAGGAGAAAGATGCCCACAGGGAGGTCCCTGTGGCCCAGCGGGAGCTGAGTCTGATAGCAGGTGGGCTCTGCTTCTGTGCAGGGATAGAGGGCTCCGTGGTCTTCTGTGGTGAGGGGCTGCACATTTTTAAGAATATTTTCTCTTTGAAAAGGACTTTACTGAGGAATAATTAACAAACATAATTGTATGTATGTATATATTTAAAGTGTACAATGTGGTGATAATTTGATGCACATACACACTGTAGGATCATTGCCAAGGTCAAAATAATGAACATCCATCACCTCACACAGTTAACTATTTTTTGGTGTGAGAACACTTACGATCTACTACCAGCAATTTCAAGTCTTACAATACTGTATTATTATTAACTATCATGACCATTAGATCCTCAGAATCCATTCTTATACCTTCTTTTCTTAGCCATTTCAGCTCCATACGTCCAAGCACTCACTCTTCCAAATTTAGTTCTTGGATTGTGGAGTGATGTGCAATAAGCAATGTGGGGCTGGGGCAAATTTAGTCCATCCCTGAAACCAGAGGCCTCCTCACTCCCCTCCCCGACTTTTACAGCAATGTTTATCTTAGAAACTGCCACCTTCCCTTGAGCAATAGAAAGCTAGTTCTTTTCATCTCAAAGGGTTGGGCCTATGAATCTTGGGGTCTTTTGGCAACAAGCAAGCAGGGGAATCTTACTCAAGGATCTGCCAAGGAAAAGCTCCTGGCTAGTGTGCAGTGTCAGTCTGGGCTGTTGTGCTGGAATCCTGAGGAGAGAGGCTGGAGAGCTCTGGCCTAGGGTTGGAAAGGGTACAGTGGGCCCCTATGGGGTGGGGGCAGCTGGAACCTGCTATGTGTTTCATGGGGAGAGCTTGCCTCTTCCCCCTCCCTCTCTCCTAAATGACACTGGGTTGGGGGTAGTTCTCAGGCCTATGAGACCTGGACCAAGTGAGGGAGGGGTGCTGACACACATTTCCTGCTGTTCCTGGAGAAGAGCCCGTATCTCTTGAGGCCACTGCATATAACTTGGGAGTGTTTTTCTGAGAGCAAACCCCAGGCCTGGGAAAATGGGGAGGGAAGCTCTCTGAGCTGTATATTCTGCTTTTGGCCATTCACCCTACTTCCTATAGGATACCATTTGGAAGGAAGTTCCAATTCTTATGAACTTTTTGGTCTCAGAGACTAAAAGAGGAGGGAGAGGGATAGTCAGGAACAGGGGGGAGGTGAGAGGGAGGAGGGCACCAGGGAGTAGAGGGCTGGGAAAGTAGGAGACTGAGGAGTGGAGCACTGGGGAGCCTGTCCTACCTGCATTCCGATCACAGCATAGATGAAGAACAGCATCACTATGAGCAGGGCCACGTAGGGCAGGGCCTGGGAGGAAGTACAAGAGATTGCATGAGGCCGGTGGAGATGGCTGGCGGGGCACACCTGCTGCCCTAGCTGCTGCCAGGCTTGGGGGGCATTTCCAAGGGCCCCATGGAAGTTCCAGGCACCTGGGACAAGGCCTGAGTGATGGCATTGACCCCTCATTTTACTCAGTTTTAATCACCTGAGAAGCAGTTGAGTATTGAGAGAAGCAGGTCTCAGAGTAAAGAAAATAGTGTGATATTACTTAGTAAAAACAATACAAAATGAGCAAAACATCCTCCGACTAGACACATATCTTTGTACAGCAGGGAGAGAGCTGTGGCGGACACACACCAAGGCTTCCTGGGGAGGCACAGGTGGAGGCAGGCCACACCCTTTCTTCGTGCAGCTTTCTGCTGTTCCATTAGTTGTAAGAAAGACATTTACTAAGGAAAACTTAAGTAAACGATAGATCATGGGCTCAAATCATATTTCTGCCACTTTCTAGCTATGAGAGCTGGGGCATTTTACTTAACCTCTCTGAAGGGTGCAAAGGGTAACAATGACCTCTCAGGGCTTGTGTGGAAGTTTAATGATTTAAGGTTTACAGACTGCCTTGTGTGTTGCCTTGCACGCAGTTGGGTCCCTCACATTTTATTCACTCAAGGTGTTGTCTGCCCAACAGCTCAGACAGCTGAATTTTCCAGAGTCCCTTCCTCTTCCCCTGAGGAGAGGTCCTTGGGACTCTGTGCTGGTGAAGGGTCAGGAGAGCCACTCACACCCACACATGTGTGCCTAGGAACTGCCTGGCTAGGCGCCTTCACACCACTAGAGGGCACTGCAAGACCACATGGACGCTCTGGGTCCTTGGAGCTTGAGCTCCAGTCAGGTGCAGCTCCTCACAGGCACCAGGTCTGTTGCCTCTTCCTGGCCCAGGAAATGGGGGAGGGTGGTTGAGTATGTTGGGGGCCTATATGGTCACTCACAGCTATGGGACTCCAGAAGTGCATCCTCAGAAAGGGTCAGCTCAGTCTTGCTCCCACAAAAATCCTCAGATTCCCAGGGACTGAGCATGATGCCTGGTGGGACAGGGCCAGAGGAGCAGGGAGGGGCCATGACTCATCATGAAGTGGGGAGTCAGCCTGGGCCTGGTGGGAGGAGGACAGGCTCTGAGTGAGGCCAGGCTGGAGCCCTCTGTTGCTGGTTCCATTGTGGGCTCAATGAGGTCCCCAGGCAGGAGGCTGTCTGCAGAGGTGCGTATGCCTTCAGGCAGAGTTCCAGGCAAGCAGGTGCCTGACGGCAGTGCCCCTGCCTCAGGCTGTAACTTCAGTTACAGCACAGATGGGTCAGGGACCCATTCCATGCCTGTCCCTGGGCCCAGCCCAGCCAGGGCAAGGGCATGGATATGATTGTTCAGCACTGGTGAGCCCCCTTGTCTTGGGAAGCCTGAGAGTGGTACTTCCATGGGCAGGCAAAGCTGCCATCAGTGCCAGGCCAGGAATGCCTGGAAACACATGCAGGGTCCCTGCCATACTCATCTTCAAGGAATTCAAGTGACCTGACAGAACTTTGCTTCTCATTAACTTCAAACTAACATAACACTTCTCGGAGACAGCCAGAGGTGGTCATTATCCAGCCTTTACAGTTGGAAAATGATGGCTGAGTAATGAGAATTAATCCTAGTGTTGGGCACCCCTGTGCCCATTTGAGGGGACCATGTCTCATTGAGTGGTGTGAAACCTGAAGAGTCTGGCTAACTCTGTAAGGAGGTACCAATGGTAGTACTGCTGCAATGCCAGAATTGGGCAAAGTCATGGAGTTCCTGTTTTTCAAATTTGTTCCACCACAAAACCCCCTTGTGCAATCAATTCTTATGGAAAAATGCATAAATGAGAGAGAAAGCAGAGCCACTCAGCCTTCCCCTTAGCTTGCAGCCTTCCCTACCTGACTTTGGGGAAATATGGGTCTCCAGAAGCATGTTTTTGAAAACCACAAACTGAGCCCTACGGACTCATTTCAGAAATGAAGAAAGCAAGATGTGGACACAGGAGGTTGCTATCACACAGAACTGAGCAGCAGAGCGAGCCCAGTCTTGACTCCTAGATGCTGCTCATTCCTTCACCAAGTCACCTCCCATTCAGGGAGTCCGGTGGAAGCTGGGAGGTGAGAGGGCAGAGATGGCTACCTGGAAGGACTTGATGAAGGTCCACAGCAGGGTCCGGATGCCCTCTCCACGGCTCAGCAGCTTGACCAGGCGCATGACCCGGAAGAGGCGGAAGAAGGTGATGGAGATGCGGGAGTTCTCCTCTGCGTTCTGGAATCCATTGGCAATAGGAGGTGGTAGTTAACACAGCAACAGAGGCGGGTGGGGCAAGAGCGGGGTGGGCCCTGCTCGAGCAACACAGCCCTTGGCTGGGATGGAGCCAGCTCAGGGCAGGGTTGGCTGCACTAGGTTCTCTCTCCTGGCCACAGATGGGAGGCCAGCACCCACCTTTTTCGGTTGGATGACCCAGCCCCTGAGGTCTCTACAGAGCCAAGTTGTGCCCAGGCCCCTGAACCCACATCCCTTTTCCTGTTTTCCCAGCTTCTCCTTCTTTCCTAGTTGTTGATCTGCTGGTGGGGCCACAGAAGATTCCTGGAGGAACTTCCATTTGCCCTGAAATCTATGCTTGGGAGGTGGTCTCTGAGGGTGCACCCTGCCTTGGCTGCGTGCTGAGAAAGCAGCCCAGCCTCTGTCCCGTGTGGCCTGCCTGAGGGTCCTGCATCCTAAGTGGCATCTGGTTCTCTGTGAAGTGGCTGCATAGGTTGTGGCCCCCATCCCCGAGGGTCCTGGTGGGTGGGGTGGGCTGCCCACAGAAGGACCTTGTGCACTTGGCTGGTCAGGACTCAGCACTTCTGTTGTGTCAACTCCTGCTTCCCACAGCCCCTGCCCCACATGGCCTCGGGCTGGAGGTAATGAGGTGTGGCTTAGTGCTGGGCGAGTGTCTGGTTTGCAGCCTTTGCTTTCACTGGGGCTCTGAAGCTGTTCCCCTTCTCCTCTCCTCTGCCCTGGGGCCTCTAGGAGACACCCCCTCTCCAGGTTGCCTGAGACCTGGGAGGAGGTGAGAAAGACGGTTGGTTGGGGTGAGAAGACCAAGGGGTCCGAGCCCAGGGCAGATCATCTCCTCCAGGAAGTCCTGGATGGGAGGGCAAGGGGAAGGGGGATGGAATCAAGGCTATAGCAAGCTGAGGTGGGATTATGGTGGACTGTGGGGGGCCTGCTGGCTGAGGAATCACCTCAGCATGCTGGGCCTGGAGGGTCCTGGGGCTTGGGCACGTGCCTGGCCAGGCCTCAAGGCCCAAGAAAGGCTTCTCTGTTACCATCCGCCTCTAGAACCGAGAAAAGCATGGACTGACCCTCCGACCCTCCTCCTGCCACACGGGCCAAAGAGCTGGGGGTGGTGACCCCAGGCAGCCACTTGCCTGCTCCCCAGAGCTAGTGCAGCTCACCCAGCCCCGTCAACATCGCACCAGGAGAGAACGGACCTTTGGGCTTCCTGTTACTGTTCCCATTGCTGTCTCCCTCTGGGTCATTGCTGGGCCCCTGTGGTGGCCCTCCTCATGTCTCAATTCACGTCTCTGGCTTTGTTTTTAATCATTTTCAGGTTGGAGCCTAACATAACCCATGCTGAAAATCCCACTAGCATGACAGCCCTGAAGGGCTCCCACAGGCCCTTCATCTGAACCCCACTGACTGCTACTGACGTGGCTGGTTGCTCCAGAAGCCACTCATGTGACTGCTGTTCAGAATGGGAGACCCACGGGGGAGGCGGCAGAATTCAGAAGCCCTGCGGCTCCCGGGAGTGCTGCACAGAAACCAGCAGAAAGGGTCTCTCCAGACAGGGGAAGTGTTACAGTATCTCTTCTATGTCCGTCTGTACCAGAGCTGCATCTGCTCCTCACCGGCTCCTGTTCCCCTTGGGCAGGGCAGAGCTGTGGGTGCTGGGGAAGGAAGGGCAGGCAGCCATCCCCATCTTGCTCTAAGCTCTACCCTGCTGTGGATTTTGAAGTCTTTGATGTCCGTAATCTCTGCATTTCTATCACCTGTGTATCTACTTGAAATTCTATTTTCTCTCCCTAAAAGAAGACTGTATGCCCCCAGCGGAGTGTGCAGAGGAGGCTCAGGGTTTTATAACTCAGCTGTCAGTTCCACCACGTCGGGAAATGAGAAGAAGAAAGAACAAGATTAAGCAGGGAACTCTGCTGTGAGTGTCAAGAGTTTGAGAAGTTGTGCCACAGGGGCTTCTGGATCTGATAAGTTAGAAAATAAAAATCAAGCTTGTAGTATGAATCCCACTCTGGGTTCAGAGCCTTCACCGGCTGCTGCAGTTTCCTAATGCTTGAGAAGGAGAATCAACATGTTTCCATTTGGACGTAACAACTTCCTCTCATAAACCAAATGACAATGCAGTGAGGAAGCAGGTCCCAGTGGCCATCCCTGCAAAGTGGGGAGAATCCCCAGGTCCAGACTTTCCCCTGGCAGCCTTCCAAGCAGCCTGGGATGGGCATGTCAGGAAACATACCAACTCACCCAGCCTTGCCTTGCTTGCTGACTCAGGGCTCAGGGAATCACCCACTCACTGAATGTGTGACAACAGCCTTTTGGAGAAGGCTATTCCAAGGACAGCTTAAGGTCATACCAAGTGGCGTTGCTATCACTTTAGCTAAAGTGAATCAGAGACTCCTACATTAAGAGTGATTCAATCAAACTATCCAGTTTGTTTTTCTGCTTGCAGTCTGCTGCAGAAAAGTGGGTATTGTCTAATTTCAACAAACTCGGGATTTTAGAAAAATTCACAGGTAACATCGTTGGAGTGACTGGAAATTCAACCACACTCTCAGTAACAAATCCCAGCTTAAACCTTTGCTGTGTCCTTCAACTCCAAGCTTGAGGGAGGCCAGTCCACACAGACACATGGTGAAGAAAGAACATCACCGTCTGCCTCTCCGCCTTCTGTTAAATCATCGCCCACTTCCCTCTTCCCCCAGGAGGCCTTACCGTGGCTCTCATAGGTGCCTGTGCAAATGTCCCAATTAACCTAAGGTTAGAGTCTTAGCCAGTAGCGTCCTCAGGAGGCTAAACAGGAAATTTCCCTTGGGTCCAGTTCTCTCCCAGTGGCTCATTAGATAGTTAAGATCACAGTGAATTACCACCCAAAGGGAAGTTCAGGGAGGGAAGGAACACCATGATACACACAGCACGTCACAGCTCACACGAGACCAGGCAGGGAAGGTGCGAGATGGACGCGGTGGCCACATGCAACAGGAGCCAGGCTGGGCTCTGGGAGACTCTGAGAGTCAGGTGGGTAAGAGTGGGGGGTGTCAGAGGAGGTCACAGAAGTTCAGAGCATGGTCTGGAGGGTTGGTCTTACCATAAAGGGAGAGCATTGGGTATGTTCAGCTGGCTTTAAAGAAAGGCAGATAGAGACAAGCTGTAATAAGTCTTCAACGAGGATGTTGGTATTCTAGGTCTTGGCTAACACAGGAGCAACACAGTGGCAGGAGAGGGCAAAAGGAAACAGTGACAGAAATATGCAACCATAGGCCTGGCAGGTTCTGCACCCTGAGTGTGGGCTCTGCAGCGCTGGGCTCACTTCTGTCAAGGACCCATCTCTGGCCCCAAGTTAAATAATTCACACCCATTATTCATGAGGTCTTCTGAATTTTGTGGATGGAGGTTTTGTTTTGTTTTCTAAAACCTGCCATGTGTTCTAACGTAAACTTTAAGGACTTGCACTTTATTCTCTCAAGCTTTATCCCAGCATTGCCAGCTGAAGGGGCTCACAGGCAATGACCCCTCAGGTTTAGAGGAAGGCTGAATTTTAATTCCCACTGAGGAGGATCTAAGGAGGTGGCTCTCAACTCCCTCCAGAGCAAGGTGTTAGTCCTCAACCTGAAGTTCAGGTGGGAGGTGGTCCTGCTTGGCTACCACTCTACAGGTGTGGAGAATGTTGGCCACAGCATGAAAAATGAGTGTGGAATGGTTTTGTAAATTTGAAAGCCCCGCACACAATTTAAGGTATGATTATTAACACCCTAAGAGGTTGTTCTCATGGGCTTTACTGCTGAACTCATTTGGGGGCAGGCGCTGCAGAAAGTGGCCACAGGTGGTTGTGCCTGCTCTCTGCCCAGGTCCACGCACCTACCTCTGGAAGGTGCCCCTACTCTCTGGGCTCCAGCACAGAGAGCTAAGCCCTGACTGATCCTGACCTTCTGAGCTGTTAACTCTTTCTAGGAGGTCCTGACTGCTTTTACCCTCCACTTTCAGATGGTTGCTCTTGTGTTTCTGTTTTTCAGGTACAAACAAAGAAACGTTTTAATGGGACTTCTGAAGGACAGAAATGTGCAGTAGACCTTGGCTTGCAGACTTAAAATTCTCCTTTGGCAACAAATTTCTCAGCAAACTCCTTTTTGGGGGAAGGGTGGAGATACAGGGCGAGACAAGGGGAGAAAAGGCAAGGAGCACTCTCCAGTCATTCAGGGAGCACAGCCCAGATCTCCACCCCTGCTTCCTGAGGAACACGAGCTGCCAGGTCAGTGCACAGGCCTGGAGGATGGGCTCACTAAAATGTGACTAGCAGGCTGGGATGAAATGTGGAAACACACACGCACACACACACACACACACACACACACACACACGGAGGAAATTTCAGGTGGTCCAGTGCCTGTGCTCCTGTGTTCGTGGGTAAGGAGTTCTGCGGTTTCTGAGGCTGCAGTGAAGAAGGGAGGATAAGGGCCAGACAGAGAGAGGCCTACCTCCACTACATACTGTGCCCAGGCATTAGGCCAGGCTCCCAGAAGGCTCAGTTCCACCCTGAGAACTCTCAAAGCCTCCCCATTACTGCTGAGAACCCTAGTCAAATGTTTGAAGGTCTCTGGGTCAATCCCATCCCAAACGGGACCAGAATGAAGACAATTTAGAGAACCCATCTAAGTCACCTGGTACAAATGAATTAACCCCCAATCACTGAAGATTTTAATATTTGTTTTATTTTAGTTTACTTCTTAAACAGGATCCTTCATTTGGGATTTTTAAATGCCTTTTCCTTATTGATTTTTAGCTTTTATAGCTCCCATTTAAGATCTTATCTATTTAAGTCATATTTTAGTTCAAAATTTAGCTTTAGGTTGGTTCTAATCACCTTGATCATATCTTATTATTTTAATAACGTGTTATTTTAAGAATCCTCATGATACGTCTCGGTAACAGGGAACAGGAAGTGGCCAGGAGGAGCTGTGAGGGCAGCATTGAGTGTGAGGACAGGGAATCTGGAATCCGTGTTGGGTCTCCACCCCCCGTGAGGACAGTGCTCCAGACTCTCACTGTGGGAGAAGCAGGAGACTCACAGATCCAATTTTTTCTCAGGCTCTAAGCCATGCTTTGCAGAGGGCACTGTGGCTTGCTAGACAGGGTTGCCTGTCAACCTCTCACATAAGCCTGTTCTGTATGAGTAGCTATGTTTACAAAATCCATGGTCTCAAAAATAACTAAGCATTCATAATAAAATCAGAAAGCAATCACAGAATAATTTCTGAGTGGAACCAATAGGGAGGAGCCTCACACATAGGCCCTGTTCTCGAGAACCTACGGTTCACTGACACACTATCAGCCCCCAGAGGAGGTTTCTAGATAACCAGGTGCAGTTGTTTCCATCTTTGATCCTCTTGCCCAGCTGCAGTGGAATCCCCTGGTGAGCTAGAAGGGAAGACTGCATCAGCTGGACTTAGGCACCTTAGGCACCTGTGCTTTTAGCACAGAGATGTGTTTGCATTTTGGCCACTCTCTGTGACTCCTTAGTACCTCTTGAAAAACCACCTGGCATCAGTTCCACTTTTTCAGTTAAATTCAGACTTAGCTGGTAGCCTGGAGTACTTGTGTCATCCATCTCTGACCCTTTTCCAGATTTGCGCCCAGATGCCCTGAGTTAGCTGATAGTTTCTCCATCCGTGGTCTTCCTAGGGAAGACGTGTGGTAGGATTACATGAAGACATGTACCCCATGAGCCTGGAGACCCTGCCGGCACTCCCCTGCTCCTGGAGCCAACAGAGCTGCTTACTTACCCCAAACACTCTGGCTGAGCTTTAATGCTGTGCTTTATCCACTAATGGCGGGTGTGGAGTAAATTTTTGAGCAACCAATTCTTTCATCTTTGTTTTCTAATGATCTGGTAACTTTCAAGAGGTTAAAAATATTGGGTCAATTAACTTAGTTTGTTCATGCAAGCTGTATAAATGAAATAAGATGATTATATGTGAGGCAGAAGAAACCAGAATATTTTTAGAAAGAGTCCTGGCTAGTGCTTTCAGCTACCCGTCTCAGGGCAAATTGAAAGGAAAGGCCAATTAACTTGCTGCAATATATTATGCAAATTAGCTTGTTTTGGTATAATTGGCAAGGATGATAAGAGTGGTGCTGGGCAGCTAGTAAAAGACAGTCTCTGCATAAAGTTCAGGATCAAATCAGAAGTGTCACCTCAGTGGATGGGCCTTGGCTTCTGGAATATACTCACGGTTCCTGCTCACTGGGGTACTGTCTCTAGACCACACATAGGTGCTCAGGGAAGCTCAGGGAATACAGGAGGCTGACAGAGAGAGGCTTCTCCGAGGTGGGGGATCTCCCAAGATGATGGATACAAGAGTCAGTGGAATGTTTCCCAGTTGTTAACATGACCTTGTCACACTGGGAAACTAAAAGCTCTTAACCGTATGAAAAGGGACTTTCCTCTTCCTTTTCTTTCCCCCACAACCACGAGGTGAAGATTGCTAGGGATTTCATGGCTAGGGAGTAGATATTGACTGGAATATCCAACCAAGAGAATATCCTCTTGAGATCAGTTGCTTAAAGAGCATTTTAAAGAGTTCATAAGTTACTGCTGCACCTTCTTGGGCATGTTGGCTTTGAAAGGCACAGGCTACTGCTGGCCGGGGAAGCCTGGTTCTGGGCTGAGTCAGGAACAGGATCCACAAATGGGCTGCCCGGTTCCAATGGCTGCCACTGAATCAATGGCTATACTATGGTCACTGGAACTCCTCATTCCTCTGAAATATGAGTCAAAAACAATGTCATGGGAGTATGAGAGTCTTTTACTGGCTTACCCTGCATTAGAGCATTGTTTCCTTTTTTTAAATCTTGTGTCTAAAAGCTAGAGAGTGGATGTGATATAAATTCGATTCCAAACCATCTGAAATTCAGGTTCCAGCTGGCACTGCCTCTACCACTACCCCATCCAAAGCCCTGCTTCTCTGTTTTTGCTGTCTCTGCTCTCACCTCAATGTGATCTGCAAGACAGGATGGCTAGTTCAGTTATGAGAGTGCCGTGGTGTGGCGGATGGCTGAGCAGCTGGGGCTCTGTTGGTGAGACCCCAGTGAATCTGGGTAGGAGGACAATGATCAGGCTGGTACACACAGAGAGACCTGGGAATGGCAGGAGCCAGGGTCTTCAAGAGACATGTGACACCACCTTCATGGTCCCCATCTCCCCTTTCAACCAGGAGAAAAGAACACCCAGGAACTAGTGTGACCTACAGGTGTGAAGGAGCTGGGGGATGCTGCACCTTAGAGCCACCAGAGATGGCAGCAGGGAAAGGCATTTTCAGCAGGCCAAAGCAAAATACATTTTAAACTGCAACCTAGTTGAATTAAGAGCTTCCTTGCTAAGGGAGACACAAAGTTTAAATACACACAAGTCAACTGGGATAGAGAAGTTGAGGGTAGGTGTCAATGGCTTTTAGATATAGGGCAAATGAAGAAAAGATGGGCTCTTGAAAGTCATTCTTAAGCAGAATTTCCATTCTGATCTGGAACGAATGGTAAATGGTAAATGAGAGGTAAATGGATCTGAGGAGGAGGAGGAATGAGAAGAGGAAGACAGGGAAATCATGAGGGGGACCAAAATGCCGGACAGAAAAGCGCTGGGAACAACTGAAGAGAAGCCCAAAGAAGACAAGGTGGGAAATGGAGAGAACAGCACCCCCACCCCACGTCCACCACATTGCAAACCCACTAGATGGCATCTGTTTCTCCAAGGAAAAATTCTAGCCAGCAGAAGATGCTCCTTCTTAAATCTTTGTGGCTACAGGCACCCAGATGAAACGCCCTTTCAGAGCATACCCTGAGGGGAGCTTTGGCCCCAACAGGGCTGGAGGAGAGATATAGAACATGCTCTTCTGTCTCTGTGGGCTGCACTGTGGAGAGGGGACAGTGGCAATCAGCCTGTAGTATTAGCTGCCTGGTGGCAGCTCCTGTGGCTGGAAGCAGCTTAAACTGCAGGAGTCACTGTGTTATTCACCTGCAGCCTGATGTCTCCCCAGGTGCTATTACCTGCCAGATACTCACGCTAAACAAGACTGATTACCAAATCACTAGGGTGGTTTTATTTTCCCTTGGGAAGGACAGCCAGTG